TGGAAGATGTAAAGTTTGTAGGACCCGGTTGGGCCCGCCCGAAAATTTCCAGGAACCGGTCTGGACCCATATGGGTCCAGACTGGTTCTTTGGACCGGGTCCTCGGGTCCACATTTTGCCACCTCTAACTAGGTACCGATCAAATTGAGCTAGCGAGTCGGGAAAGCCACCTATGGACTCAAGAAGACCTGCCGAATCGAATGATATGCGACATGACCTCCTTCGACCAATTTCGTGACCTGGGGACGCCGAACTGACCGTGACCCGAGGTCAACACCCTAAGTTTGCCTCACCCAAACAAAAAGTATATCATTCGACGCGCCTGAGAGAGGCGAACACGATGCTGGCAAAATCGCGGCTCTGCGGCCATTTTTTGCGAAGTTATTCACCAAAAACGGAACCGTGCCTTGAGGCACTTGACCTGACCTCAGAGGTCACCGGTTTTTGTTTGTTTTGTTGGGTTAGGCCCTTTCGGTCCAATGAGACCATTTCAGAGCCGGAAGGATGATAGGATGTAGGGGGAGACATTGGTCTGGGCAGGCACCCTAGTGAGTCGCCGGGGCTGAGCCCGTCCAGAGGACAGGCCACCCAGCCCCAAGGCACTCACTGCACCCGGCTACGGGGTGCGCTCCCTCGGGAGCAGCGGTGCCGCTCCAAGGGAGCAGCCCGCATGAGATAAAGTTGCCTGTCCAGCCCGGAGGGGGTTGCGGTGTGGAGGAGAAGGATTTCAGTATCCTGAGGATAGAAGCACGGAACGGTGTCAGAGGTCACCGGTTGACCTAGGACCATAAAATCGGGTATCGATCTCTGCGTCTCGTAACGGCGCACACGCTCGTTTTACCGCGACGCGCTAGCTCCACCTGGGGCGAAACGGCGAGGGGGGTCGTATCCGCCCCCCGCCCCCTCGGCCAGCGCGTATGTAGAAAACCTATAGGACCGGGCCGTGGAGGGTTAAACTGGCCTCTGAAGGCCCAGACCGTCTAAAAGTCCCACACCGGCCTCTGATAAGTGATAGTCAATCAGCCCAGTTGCAGTGGTCGCTGATATAAAACCTCTTAAAAACGTTATAGGCCTGGCTGAGCCTAGCTGGGCCGTTCATGCTGATTTTTATAGGTATATTGAAAAGACTCGCTTTGCACGTTTCACGCTTGCTCGTAATGAAAAAGTTGCTGGATGCCTCTGGAATTTGCATGGGTGCCAACGGCTGCGGAGGACAGGGGAACGCGTCCATCAGTTTGAGTTTATGGACGGGAGACTCCCTGAAATTTCAACCGATTTTTTTTCTTTTTTTTCTCGATTTTTTTTTACCTCTGAGCATGTTTGCGAAAACAAAGTGGCCGAAATCCGAGGAGAAATTGAATTTTGGGGGTAGGTTAGGTTTTGGACCTCTGGGACCCTGGCCCCCCCACTTTCGAAAACGTTCCTACGCCTATGATTTGAACACAAGGTGCCATATTGATGCAGCCGAAAGTATTAAATGTTTCGTGTCGATAAGCCCGGTGTTTTAGAAGATATTGCAGAAAACAGGAAACAAACTCTATGGAGCCCCCTCCCAGTCATGCGATGCGCAGGTTAAAAAGAAGCTTTGAACAATTTTGCCTATTTAGACAAGAGACGAAATACGCTTCAGAGAAATACGTTTGACGGTAGGTAATTTGGCAAGCATTCCAAACCATTATTTCTGAGTAGGATAAATGTAACTATAAGATAAGTATATCATCCAAGAATAATTTCCCAAAGGAGTAAGTGTTGAATGTTATTTTCACGGGTTTCTTTTCTCCTGTTCTTCGCTCCTTGTAATAAATGAGAACATACCTTCATGCTTAGGCGTTTTCTTTACTACCCTCGACAACTTTTCTGGGGGAAACGTACGCTTTTGTATGCAGATTTTCCCACACTGTAAACGTTGAATAAGATACAGGTACCCACCACTGATTTGGGTCGAATTCATCAGAACCGGTCGCAAACAAGGTCACCATCTGCCCGTTATTGGTCATGTATGCCTAGCAAAATGCGTGGGACGAAATTCAAAAGCAGTATCTGCAAAACCACAGGTTGACCCCGATCTCTAATGGCCGGCCGTTCACCTCTCTGCATCGTTCAACTCTGACAAAACAGCTGCAGATCGATTCATCCTGTGTTCAAATGGATCCTCTGACTTTTTGTGTAGACTAACTGATTATGATGCAGCTATATCGGTGATCCCTGGTCAGACAGGAGACGTCACTAACCGTTGCAGAGGCACATGATGGATTGCAGGTACGACGCTGGAATGTTAAGTGGCTGGATATTTCCGCATGCATTCACCTGGTCATGACGAGTCTACATAAGCGCTTAAGCGCATATTAGCGTCAAAAGCAGCAATTGTGAGGAACATAACATTCGTGATATTTCGTAACGATCGTAAACCGAACTGGTTGCGATTTTTTCTTATAGCAGGACTCTAAATGCCTATCGTTGACCTGCAACTCATTGCCCTTGCAGCCGGGCTAGCCCCGTGAAAATGGAAGGGAACAATTTCATTCCGGTCCGGATTTGTAATTTGACTTGCTAGGTGGACAGAATCTGTACTATGATGTTTACGACCCGTCAACGTCAAAGTGGTTTAAATTATTCACGTCCATCCAGTTACTCGACACTTGTTCCGATTCATGTTTAATGGAGGATTACAGAACGGTCACTGTTGGACGATTTACTTATTTAACATATTAGCTGCACTTAGCTATCTATGGAATGCTCAGAGTATGATTACAACGCTTGTCGGCCTAACCGACATAAGCTAGTTGTGTGCATAATATAGGCCCTATGTCAAACAGCTGATTCAACTAATCCTTGCTCACTTATGCAGGGATGTGTAAAAATGCAAGTGTCAGCAAGGCCGTTCCGTCGCTTATTACGTTGTAAAAAAAACACTTTAACTCCCGACGTTTCGCTGTTTACTGCGAAACTTTACGCTGTTTACAGTAAACAGCGAAACGTCGGGAGTTAAAGTGTTTTTTACAACGTAATGAGCGACGGAACGGCCTTGCTGACACTTGCATTTTTACACATCTGTCAAATAATTATATTAATGCAGGGATGTATGATCGATAATTGGCATAAGCTGGACACGAGCGAGGAACATATATTAAGCCGCAAAGTGCATATCTTGCACGATTAAAAGAAGTTTCACTTTCGTCCCGACTTATACTTTTGTAGTGTTTTCTGCAGCCACGTCCTGCGCGCATTTATTGCACGTGTTAACTGTCCAATTATGACTTCTACTTGTTTTTCAAGCACATCAACCAACATGTATTGTGTGTTCTACTTTCCGTGCTTTCCGTTTGCATAAAAGCATACGTTTAGCTATCGGTGCGTGTCTGCGGCCTATGCGGCGAAAAGTGAACGAAAGTGACAAAACTAACGCGTGTTTTGTTTGTGCTTTTTGCGGTTTTGTGGTAGAGGAACGGAAGGAAGCATATAGTTTATTCAGTCTTCGGTGGCTAACTTTCTTGCAGTAAGAAAGTACCGGTTATCAATCAGGTGAGGAAAGCTGAAAGTCTTAGGTTTGCACCTTAAAAAGACACCAATTGGTGCTGAAGTGATATGTATGAACTAAGTCGTGATTTCGAGCAAAATAACCAAACTATAAGCGGCCCAAGTCATTGTGTTATTCCAATGATCGGATGAAAAAACTCATTTGACCAATCTACACTTATTTGTGGGCTTATATGTAACATTTTAAACCTCTTTTCGATTAATAGCCTAGGGACAATATCTCATAAATATGTAATGGGTTGACCTAATTTTAGTGTTATGCACTGCAGGAAACGGTGACTTTGAAGTAGGGCAATGGTGCCGCGCACTGTTTGTCCTTTTGTCTTTCATTTTTCTTCTGTTTGTAAGCGCAAATAAATGGTATTGAGTTGAATAGACTTTTATAGTAGAAAAGCGTTTTAAGCGCTGGGTCTTTAATTTGGAAAAAGAAGGCGACAGGCATTAGATTAGATCTGTTGATGCTACCTGGACTTTCCTATTGGTGGGGCGATGAGTGATGCATTTTGATATAGGTATAGGCACAGGCGGCGGAACAGGGAGGGCACCGGGGCACCGTGCCCCCCCCCTTGATTTTGGCATTTTAACATTAGCCCCATGGGCGTTGCATGGAAAGAATGGGACCAAAAGTCGGCAGTGCCCTCCTTAATTGAAGGTGTTCCGCCGCTACTGTAGGTAGGTGCGAGTATTATTAAGTATCTATTCTGCAAATTACACCCCCGTCATAAATGTTCAAAAATTTATTTCCAATATATGTTGAAAGCTCACCTAAAAGAATGTTTGCAATGAAAAATGTTTTCAGAACGCTGAGCATTTCCTCAAATCCTTCCTCATACATTGACATTCATTAAAGGAATGTCATTACCCCATGCCATTACCTATCCCAAGGAATTCATTACCCCATGTTCACTTTTAACATGGGGTTTTGAACTGGAATAGCAGTTTTGTAGCTTGAGCTGAGACTAGCACAAATCAGAAGTTTTACGACCAAACAATAACCCTAGACGAGGATATTCAATTTCTCGTTCCGAAAAGAATGCCTTGCAAAAGAATGCGTGCCTTGTTGAGGAAGACAGCCATGTCATCGTCAGCCAATCAGCATGCTGCTTACAGTCAATGAGTTCGTACTAAGCAATATGCTTGGTCAACGCGTAAGAAGCTTCCGCGTCAAACAACATTTTATTAAGAATGTAGTTCTTCCTATGTTAGAATGAAATTGAAAAAAAAAATTTGTAATAAGGTTTTATTTTCTTTGCTGATGATTTTGAGCATAAAAAACATAAATCCATTGCATAAAACTAATTTCCGGAAAGTGAACTATTTATTCCCTTTAACGCTTACTTCCCGAACAATGAAACAGAAGAAAAAGCTCGATAGCTTGTTATAGCAATCGCTAGCCGATAATTCCTTTTCGATTTCGAGAATTCCTGGCCGAGGTAACAACAGCGGTTTTATTTTGTTGACAGGTGGATCGTGTAGTATCAACTGAGAAGTCAGTCACCGTTTACCTCCTTCTTCCATTGTCCACCTGCCACCGTCTAACCGTCCACCGTCCACCGTTCACACCGTTTACGGTCCACCGTCCACCGTCCACCGTCCACCTTCCACCTTCCACCGTCCACCGTCTAACCGTCCACCCCTCCCCCATCCCCTCCACCTCTCCAGCGATGAGTAACTCCAGTGGTCGTCTGGGTGGCTGGGCAGTGCGGCACGCCGCCAGCCTACTGTTGGTGGCCTCCATTGTTCTTCTCACCATTGTACTGGTCCATCGAGGCTCCGACATTCTACAACGTGAGTAATGCCGCTTATAATAGGTGTGTTACCGCTTATAAAGCCGGTGATTGATACCTCTTACTCTTTCCGCAGTCAGGAAATCACATGCGAGAGCCTATGAACTACATTAAATCACGCTGGCATCAATCATTCACCTTCCGCATGCGATTGATGCGAGCAGGATTTTAATGCATTTGAATGGGCTCTCGCACGCAATTCCCTGACTGCGGACTCTGTTTCAACCGACAGCCTTTACAGACCTCTTATGGTGCCTTCTTTGAGTGAAATTTATCTTTCCAATTGCCTCTTCATATTCCCACTCCTGTATTGTCGAACTTGAGACACAGTACATTGTCATGCATGACAGAAGATAATCCATGTGCGTAAGAATCAGTGGAAAGCAGTAGATCTACTGCGCCGATGCTTTAAACCTTCCATACTGGGGAAAAGTCCATGCAGTTGAAATCAATGCGATATGGTACGATACACTGAATACTGCACTGACATGGTCTGTATGGGAGTCATGTTTGTATATGTATTCTCGACCTTGTGGGTGCCTCGCGTGCGTCTCCCCCGCTAGAATGGGGAGGGGAGTGACATCGACCACGCAGCCCGGAACTCGACCCAGCGGTGGTGACTGGTGGTGGTGGTGGGGGGGGGGGGAGGCCGTGACGGGGGGGTACTGGGTCAGCTGGTCTGGCCGGGTATGTGCAGTTAGAGAGGGGCTCATATATCAAAGGCGGGGTAAAGGTTTGGCAGACAGGTATGAAAAGTGACAGACAGGTATGAAAGTTTCAGAGTGGGAAGAGAAGAAAGAGAAGAGATGGAAAGAGGATGACAGCAGGGATGAGAATATAAGAGGGGAAGGAAGTGGCATAATGAGAGAAGTGATGATTGAGAGCTGGAAAGATATAGATGCGAAAGATACAGATATAGCTGAATAGTACGACTCTAAATTATTATAAGTAACATGATAGACAGATGAGAAAGAATTTAGAGCGTCACAGGATAGAAGGATGAGAAGGAATAGAGGAATGAAGTGATATGGAAGTGTGCCTAATGAACGCTTCGATTCGTCGCAATACTGCGCATTGCGCAATGCTGCTCGTTGCGTGAGCTCTGTGCATGTCTATCAGCTGTTTTAGACGCCTTAACACTGACTGTAAATATAGGCGTAAATAGGTACCTGTAAATGTGCATTTTTATCTGTATATGTCTCAAGGAAGGATTCTAAACTATATGTATAATGTATCCGTCAATTGGTAGCCCAAAACTCTGCCGTCGATTAGTAGAGCGGTTGGCTGGGGGAGGACAGGAGCCATTCGGGGAGGACTGGGGGAGGACAGTGGTCATTTTGGGAGGACAGTCGGGGGCAGGGGGGAGGAGGGGCCAGCAGTGGCCGAATGCAGTGGGAGGTGGATGGAAGTCAGACGGTCGGTGGCGAGGGGAGGGGTGCGGAGGACATGGGTGGCGGCCCAGGCCCTGCCCGCCAGAGCGCTACCCATTGTTACCCGCACTGTGTCATAGACACCGTCACTAGGTGTGCCGGCCGATATAGAATGACCAGGTCTGCACTGCACTCGGCCCGCCGGATTCATAACTACCGAGTACCGAGCTTTGTTTTTACCGTCTGCAGCCGCTCCTGGGTATCGACCGACTCAAAGGATGGCCTTAGACTAGGGAGGATCAAAGGCAAGGGATATATGTAGGTTGGGGAAGCCGAATGTTAGGTCGGTTTAGGTGGTTGGAGGGTAGGAGTATAAAAAGTGACCGATTGGGGATAATTGAAGGGTAAGTGCTAACTACTAAGTATGGATGGATGTTCTGCCTACTAGCGTACACAGTGTGTTCTCATGTGAAAGAAAAAGACATGGCAAGTGCAGCAGTCTTGCCTGGCTCTTGCGAATGCCATTTGGAGAAAGGCCCATTGCACAGTGCACACAACCATGTCTGAATAGTGTGGAGTGTTATGTCAATTACATGAAATCGGGATACCGATACTAAAGCAAAAACCAACCAAAACCATGGGATCTTCTCACTATATTTTTGAATCCTCATTGTATTCCTCACATTATCGATCTTTTCACTGTATTCACCGGGAATACAGTGAAATCCGCCAAATATGGTCTGCCCAACTTATGGCCAAGGTCAGGCCCAAACCAAAGCGGGATGACAATAGCAGATGTTGTCAAA